TGGACATAGAGGACACAACCTTCAATTAGGACATGAACAAGCAAAAATATTTCATGAATTTGCAAATTAAATCCCTTTCAAAAAAGTCTGGCTTTGTAGTGGATCCCTCCTACTTTCTAACAGTAAAATATCATTAGTGAAGCTTGAAGAAATGCACCGTGAGATAATCAATTGTAGTATGTTTTCTTACTCCTCTCTCTGTGTTGCCCAGTGGCCCTCTCCATCTTCTTAGACATCTCTATGTTCTTCAGCTTTGCAATCTTCTTCTATATAGAATTATAAAGTAATATAGTTTGCAAAGGACCTCTGGAGGGCTACAGTACGATCTCCCGACTCAAAGCAGAGCTACTGTCCCTCTCAGCACAGCCACTGAATCTAGAGAACCAGATCTTCAGCTGCTATTGACAGGAAAATCATTAGGATTCACCAGTTTACAGTTGTACACGATTTTAAGCTCCAGAAGCAACAGAGCAAGAGATGCTGCTGGGTCTTTGTTCTGAACTGCTACCAGAAGTGGAAATGTTGAAGTAATTCACATAATCCAACAGATACGCTATAAATTACAGCTGAAAAGCAATAATAGATCTTTATGTGCAATGATTTTCAAACTGAAGTCTGCAGACCGCTTGGAGCCCATGAACCACTGCGTAGGGGTTCCACAAAGATGACTGGGAAAGATCTATAGTGCAGAAGTTTAAATTCACTAAACATGGACCTCTCACTGGGAAATCCTTAGGGGATAACAAATCAAAGCAGCAATTTATTACCATGCGGAGCTAGTCAATACAGATTTGACAGCCAGCCTGATGGCCCTTGGGATTTTCTTCTACACATGGAATCCCAGAGCTGAAAGCAGCTCTCTCCTCCTTCCCCTCCGCCAGACCAGCACAATGACTGACGCGAGCCAAGGTCTGGTGTGGGGACAGTACTACAGTATTTCTTAACAAATAAAGCTTAGGAGAGCCTGACTTTCATGGTTAGAGTCCTTGCCTCAGAGCTATACCCTGAGAATTCAAATAATGCATAGCAAAATGACACTGTACTTACAAGCAGAAAAGCAGAGTATCGATAGACCACCAGATAATACTGTGAGTTACCAATAGTATGTATCTTTATCTCTACAAGTCGAAAGAAGTCATGGCTTTGAATCAAGTTTTGGATTCAAAACATCATGCAACAGGATCAAAGAAAAAATAACTTAGAGGTGTCTCAGAATTGCACCTAAATCAAACATATGCTGCCATGTTATCTACCCTACCTCATTCTGTTCACCTTCCTTGATTGTGCTTTCTTATAAAAAGATCTACAGAATGCAAAAGGTGGAGAAGTGATGATCTGAAAAAAAAAAAAAGGCAGGGATGTGTGTTCATGACAAGGGTCCGTGACTTTCACTGCTGCTACGAGGTTATGTTCCTTTAGATATAATTTCTCACTTCATTGCATTTGGAGTTCTCTAAGTACAACTTTAACACTAAATTCCTGTATACTCTTTCTATCAGGTGGTCTTGCATACGCTTCCCTTTCAGGATGCAGTAATTGGTATTACTGCACCACTCAGTCAATGATGCTGCTCAACATCTCACATCACCAAGCTCCAAACCCTCCAGATTGAACAGATAAATGATTTGCTGGCAAGGTTTTTTCCTATAAACCTTCCTAAAAAAAAAAAAGGATTCATTTTGCTTATAGGATGATTTTGCAAAGGATTGGTGCACAAAGAAAGATGAGACAAGCTTATTTGCACAGTTTTGGGGGTTTTTTTAGTGGAATCCACAATTTGGACCTCAAAGCTATTTTAGGGGTGGAAAAACCAACCAAAAAACCCAACCCAAAACCAAAACCCCCAAACAAATAAAACCAAACTAAAACAAAAAAACCCACAACCAAAACAAGGAGAGAAAGAGAGAAAAAAAGAGAGAAAGAAAACCATCTTCCTGGTGACCAGCCCAGGAACAGAAGCAATGGGGTCTTCCAGACAATTGTCCTCTTCTGGACATCCTCTCCAGTGGAGCAGGGAGTCCACAGAGCAGTTTTCCAACAGTAACAATACGGTTTTCATCAAAACCCACTTAAACTCATTACTGGTTGCTCCTGCCTGAGCTGATGTTAGCACTGACCGGAGCACACTTGATGAGGTGCGGGAATTGCATGCTCCATGTACATTACTGAGTAATATTTATTGGACGTGTCAATTATTTATCTACTGTAGGCTTTAAAGTTATAAAACTAAAAGCTACGAGGCAAAGAGTAAAAAAATAGGTTAAGAAAGGATGATTCACTTACCCGTGGTAATCAATTTTTAGGAGAAACCAGACATAACAGACAGAAAAACACATCAGCATGCATCCGTGCAAGGCCCTGGGGATAAGGGCACTTGGATACCACACTAAAAGCACCACGACAGCAGCCTCCAGGTGTGTGGTTACAAGGGAAAGGCAGGCTACAGAGGGAACACCCGTAGCATTACAAAGGTTAAAGCGTCAGACACGCTGTGCAGACACACTTACGGGGTTAAAATCCTGAAACTCAAAGAACTCAGCACAGAAAGTGTCATGGTAAACTTTTCCCACATCACAAGCAATGAGCTTCAGGTCCACCTTAACGTAGTGTCTTGCTGGCATTTATTATAATCCTTGTCAGAGGTCTATTTGGAACCAAACTAAATAAAACTAGCAAGTCTTAGGAAAACATGCCTTTCATTTCTGACTTTCGTCACCCCACGCCACAGGAAAAGACTGTTTAATAGGCTGAAGTCCTTCTGCAGCAGTAAGACCAGGCAGAAACAGAGGAAATCTATAGCATGCCTTGGCACAGAGGAGGCACAAAGTGATTCTCACCGGTATAGAAGCGATGCACGTTCTTTCACTTCAGTCTCTGTTCCCATTGCCTAGGTAGGGAGCACGGGTAGAGAAGAGGAGAGGAGCAAGATTTTTTTAGATATTCACTGTTGTCAGCTCCTTCAGGCTAATGGCAGCAGGCAAAAACAGAGCACCCTTGTCTGTGCCTGCTCTAAACTATGGCTGGGGCTGGACAGAAGCACACCACCACCAGGACTGGAGGCACTTCTTGCTTTCACTGAAGGAGGTGGTCTCTCATCCTATGCTATCCTTCAGCAGCAAGATACGATAGTTGGCTAGAGAGCAAATAAGCATTGTGAATTAAAACATTTGGCGGTTAACCGTGTGGGTTGCTTCCCCTGCTTCTCCAGACCAGGTCAGAACACAGTGCTATTGAAAGATGAGACAAATAAAGGTCTGAGCTACTGGAAGCCAGTGTTGCTCCAATCCTAAGATTTGATCATGCAACAGAATGTTGTAAATTAGGGAGTGCAGTCTGTACCCTAAAATGTTTGTATATGAAATCTGCTCAGAATCAGCCAGTGCCTCTACAGAAAGGATTAATAAGCCTTCCACTTATTAACGCAAAATGGCCACAAGAAAAGATATCTATCACCAGGAAAGCTGTGGGTCACAACTGCCTTGCCCTGGAGAGCGGCCAGACACCTTCAGACACGAGAAAGACAGGAGTGAAAATGCTCTTCCACTGTTTTTGCCCTTGCACTGCAACACCTTGTATAACCTAATGACAGGGATTATTTTATTATAAAGTGCCTCACAGCAAAGAAAAGATGGCACTGTCCCACCTGTTCATAAAAGCATTGCCCTAAGCAGGAGATCTCTGGCTGAGCCTGCAGTCAAACAGCTCTCCTTGTGACAAAAGAAAACTGTTAAGTCTGACAGCCATTCAGGCCGTAATTCAGCATGACCAAATAGAGCAAAACAGTGCTAATTTCAGGCAGAATACCAACATCTCCTTTGTAAGCCCACCACTAAGAAGTAAGGTGAAATTCGGGGGGAGGGGGGGGAAGGGGAGGGAAAGAA